ATTTATAAACAGAATATCTACTAATAATTACAATGTATTTATAACTATAATCAGTGAGAATGTCGAGTATTATAACAATTTAAATAACAAATACTAATAATAGAAAATGTAAAAAAACTAATTGAATCCAAAAATCAGTTTCATTCAGTTCTCATCGTCTGAATCACTCACGAGAATCACATCCTCTGTGCCGTAGAGTTGATCCCAAACGCTCTGACCTCCGGACACGTATTGTTGGGACGGCTGTCCACTCGTCTCATCTTTCACTTCATTTTTGGCCTCATTCTTGACTTCACTCTTGATCTCTGCCTTAACCTCCGTTTTCACTTCAGTCTTAATATCCTTCTTATCCTCGCGTTTTACCTCATCCTTGACCTCATCCCTGGCCTCAACCTCACCGTCACCGTCACACTCATCCACGGGTTCCCTCTTCACGTGCACACAACGGCTCAGATTAATGCGAATCTCTTTGCGGATATCAAACTTATCTCTCAGCTGATCCTCGTATAAGATATCCATTTCCGTCAGGAGTTGCGTGAAAAACGAATCAATCATATCGCTGGCCGTCACCCGGATCTCCGTGTAGTGGCGCTCAATGAGTCTCAACTGTTCGCGTTTCATATCATTGTACGCCTTCTGACCCCTGAATGAGATGTTATAGAAGTTCTCGCAGTCCGTGAAGTGAACGGTAATCAAATGTTTCATTAAAATGTACGGATTGTTGGGAAAGGCGTTGTTTTCGGTGTTCATATCCGTGCAGAGGTCGCACCGCATTGGCAGCCAATGCAAGTGTTTGCAAATGTGAAGCTTAGCCCTCCATAAGGCGTCGATCGGGGCGGGGGTCAGACCGCATACATGCGCCGCTTTCACACATATGGGACACACGATGTTGAGTCCACTGTCGGTCGCACTCGACGCCACTGATTGGTTGCTGAAGACCGCGTACTTGAGTTGATTGTCCAGAAAGTCAAGAATCCATTGACGTATCTCTTCGGGCATATTCTCCTCGAAGTCCATATCATCGCTTTTGTGGACAGCCTTCCAGTGGTCAGCCATCGAGCTGTAGGCCACGCAAGAGAACCTACACTGACAGCACTGGTAGCCGAGCTTCAGATGCGATTTATAGTGTTCAATGGCTTCCGTCTTGTTGTTGATTGTGAAGCCCTCTCTGCAGAAAACACAGAAGTACTTCGACGGGATCTGATCGTCAGTTAAGAGGAAAGTCGTCGGCTGTGACTGTGACTGAGAACTGGGTTTAGCCGTCGACTTGCGCGCCACTGACTGCTTGTGCGGCGACATTACGACCTCCACATCGTTATTATCGTTGTTTTCATCCATAACCACTTCATTGGCGGCACTTTCGGCATCAGATGGCATGTCATCGTAATCATCACCAGAAGGAGGACCGCCTGAGTCGCCGCCATCATCAGAGTCTAAACTCAAATCATAGTCGATGTCCCGTTTCTGGCGCTTCAGATTCGACGAGACTTTGGTGCGGCTGTGGACTCGTTTGAAAGGGTTGTCATCCGCGGTATCATCGATGGACCGCTTCCTGTCGGTGCCCGTCGGACCCAAATCCACGTAAAGGGTGTTCAGGATCTTCTGCGTCAGCGCACCCTTACCTCCCTTTACGACAGACCCGGAGGTGGACGCCGTGGCCGTACTCTTGCGGGCCGTCACCTTATTTCGGACAAAACTCGCGCCACTCGTCATCCCTACCGACTCGCTCTGATTCACATCAATGATAAACTTCAAGATCTTGAGCGGTAGGCTCGGGTGACACTCCTTCGAGTGCTCCGTTATCATCAGTTTGCCACCAATGAGGTCGCAGTGACCGCACCGGAGGTTATGGTCGGCGTTATGGTCCTTCAAGTGGAACAATATCTTAGTGCTCGGGAAGGGCTCCACAGCCGGACAGAGCGTGCATTTGTACATATGGTTAGTGGCGGCCGACCTCTTGGGCTGAAACACGTCGAAGTGCTTCATGTTCTCGAAGCGAGCCTTCAGTCCCCTCCGAGGTATCGGCTCCTCATTCACGAGTTTCACGTAATCGTCATTTGGTTCATCGGTTTGCGGCACATATGTGAACGCCTGGGGTTTAGTCGGCGTCTTAGGAGTCTTACCCTTAATCTGAGCCGCCGCTGAGGGAACGCCTACTCTCTTAATCACTTTGAAGGCATTACTTCTAGTCTTCTCTTCTTCATCCGAACCCATATTCAAGTCATTGCTTATCATATTTAAGTCGATCTCTGGCGGCAGTCCATCACCGGTCGATCCCTTCGGAGTGGACGTCCGTTTCTGATCCTTTTTCGACATATGCTTCTTCGGCACCCGTAGTGAGCCAAACCTCTGGAGTTTGTGGAGCTGATAGTCAGTGAACGAGCCCTGTTTGGCGCCCACTCGGGACGCCTCCACAACCAGTTTCTCACTGACTTTGGGTTTAGACTTAGAATTCGCCCCAAAAACCGGTTTAAAAGGTCTGTTCGGGGGATGAGTAGCACCGGTAGATGTGGAGGGAATGGGATTATCGAAGTTGACGTCAAACTGTGAGGGAGAGGGCACTGAATCGTAGAACTCGGACACGTAATCGTCTGCTAAGGGCTCGTGATATGCGGTGTAGTCGTCGTCGTCATCGGATGGGATAGGGATCGGGTTTGGGGGCGGAGTGGGCGCTCTATTAGGCGCATCAAATGTAAGGCTCCTTCGGGGGCGGGTATGTTGTTGTCGGGGCGGCCGATAAGGCAACACACCGTCTGATATGAGCGGTATGTCGGCGTTGCAGTCGACTCTGCACTGCGTACGGAACGTGGAGGTCAGGGGCTGCGAATCAGCCTTTTTCTCGACATCCGAGTCGCTGTCGGAATCGCTGTCTTCGGCTACCGCTTCATCTGATTCCTCCGGTTCCTCTTTGACCGCATCCACCACTGCATACCTGTTCTCCTTATCGGCGCTATAGATGTCTATCGCGAAGTCGGGATGTCTGTCCACGCAGTGTATCAATACGTCGGCGACTTCTGCGGTATGAAAGCCACAGTACAGACAATAGGAGTGGTCGTCGTCGAGATCGGTGTCCAGTTTTGGGGCGTAGTTAGTGATCACGTGAATGGGGTCCACATCGGGTCCCAAATCGGACTCTTTGCAGACAATTATTTTACAGATGTCTTCGCGCAGCTCATCCAACGCGTCGATCGTAAGGTTCGCGTTATGATCGGCCCTACGGTCGAGACAAATAATCATTAAAAAATACCACAAGAAGTGGCGATTATCTCATACCATGTCTGAGTGTGACATGAGATCTGATGCATCTGCACGTGAGTGGCGCTGATCGCGCGGTACAGACATTGGTTGCACTGATGGACGCGTTTGCCGTGCGTTTGGATCATATGGTCGACCAGTCTATCGGTGTCTGTCGTGGCAAACACTTCCACGTCTTTGTCGTCAACCTTACCATCGATGCGACAATAGATACACAACACGTGTTGATGACATTCCTGCGAATGTCTGCAAAACTCTTGGCCATCATTTGTCGAGTAGAAGCACCTGTTCTGGCGGTCATTGCCTTCATCGGCGGTCAACTCCGGCAGACATTTGAAGAATTTAGACAAATGTCTGTCATTTAGGGACAACAGGTCTTTGCTCTTATAGTCATAACATGGGATCTGTTTCTCAAATGCGATGCCACTGGCGATGGACACGTCCAGCGGGTGATCCTCAGCGTCTGAATGGATCTCCTCATCCGACACACCCATTGTCTCACTTGAGATCAGATGTCTTAAGACTGCTTATGAGGTGTCAGTGTCTGCGAGACTCACTGTCAATGCGATTGTGTTTTGTGGCAAACATTTAAAACTCAACTCAAAGGCCAATCAAATGAATGATAACAAGTGATGAAACCGTTCATAAATACTGTGTTATTATTATAGCAAACATTCTATATATAACGTATTGAGTGGGTGAAGAGTTTTGTCCCCCCCCTATAATACACTGTATGTTGCGTATTATCAACAGTGAATGTGTGCGACACTAATGTACACTCACTCACGCTGTATGTGTAACGTTGTATTTGACTGATTGGATGTATATAAAAATCACAGTTTTATCACTTTTACACAATGATTTCAATTGTTATCAGTTAACTTTAGTTAACAAATTCATTTACACGAATAGCAAGTTTCAATAAAATACAATAAACTCTAAGTAAATGATTGTCCGAATGACCTCGCACCAAAATATTATCCAACACCTCATTGCGGGGGACAAAAAGTGGCCCAAAAAGTGAACATAATTTATATGAATGAAAACAATTGCGTCAATGACTCCAAGCCTTTGAGTCTCAAAACGTATGACAAAAACAGTTACTTTGAGTGCAAAACAACAAAACAGTTGATTGCGTGAGAAATCAGTCGCTCATCGAAACCATTATTAATAGCAGTCATAATAATCAGTGATTACATCGACTGCACCACAAAATGCTGTGACTCTACCACCGATTGCCACCGCAAGACACCAGTGAAGACACCGCCGAAGACATGGGCAACTCGTTGGTGGGGTCGGCCCCGCAGGCCATACACCCGATCGAGTACTACCTGTCCGATGTGGGCGAGTTTCAGTACCAGTGCTCGCTCGGGTCGACCCGTTTCCTCAAAGTGGCCAAATGTGGTCACTATGAGGGCGAGTGTGTGGTGAAGGTGCTGGCCGTCGAAGACCCCTCTCTACCCCTCGCCGCCCACAAGCAGCGCATCGAACGCCTGTCCGCCCTAACCGTCCGCAACGTGTCGATCGCCGCCTTTCACAGGGCTGTCATTCAAGGCTCGTTCGCACTCATCGCCCGACAGTACGTCCGGTACTCCCTCTACGACAGGCTCTCCACCCGGCCATTCCTCACGCGGCTCGAGAAGTGTTGGTTAGCCTATCAGCTGATCCGATGCGTCGATTGGTGTCACAGGAATGGCGTACATCACGGAGACATCAAACTCGAGAATATCTTGATTACGTCCAGCCTATGGCTCGTGATGTCCGATTTGGCCACTTATAAGCCCGTCCTATTGCCCCACGTGAGTTGATGGTAGTCTTTGTGGGACCCGTTGTGGTGATGATTGTCGTGCAGTAATTGGTCAATGAGTTGAGCGTTTAGTTTATGGGTTTTGTTTGTGTGAATAGGTTTTAAAAGTGGTTTTATTATCGCTTTTTATGGCTTAACTGTATGTGAGATAAATTGGCTTTTATTTAGTGATTTAGGTTTGTTTACAGTATATATCATAGGACTGGTAGGGGACAGGCATCTCATGTGTATAGACTTCATTGTCTCGTAATTTGTCATTTGATTTAAGGTTTTGTTTATTAATTTTGACAGCAATTGCAACTATTTCTATGCAATGACTGAAACTGCTATCAAATGAAGTAATCCTTGAATTTAATACTTTTGATTTGAAATTCAAAACTTTGTTATCAAATGTCTATTCACTGAATAGTTACATAAATATTGGTTATAAATAAATTAACTGCTGATTAGGCGTAAAGTGAACAGTATATCGACCTTTAAAACTGAATTATGAAAAAATTAACACAACTTTTTAAAAAACTTTTAATTCACTGTTTAGGACAACCCGTCGGACTTCTCGTACTTTTTCGACACATCCCGGCGCCGGTGTTGTAATATAGCGCCCGAGCGGTTCGTGAGCGACAGCGGCTCCGGCCTCCAGTCGGACGTATTGAGCGCGACGTCGACGCCCACCTCCAGCCCCTCGACGGACGCCCAGTTGACCCCTCAGATGGATATGTTTAGCGTCGGCTGCGTATTGGCTGAGCTCTTCTCAGACGACGCCCCGAACGGCAATCTCTTTGATTTGGCGGATCTGTTGGCGTTTCGCGTCAATCAATACTATCCGGAAAAGGCGTTGAACTCGATATCGACGGCCGGGATCAGGGATTTGGTGCAGAATTTGATTAGTTTGGAGCCAATGGACCGCAAACTCGGCGCACAGATACTCCAGGAATTGAGTGGTTCCGTGTTTCCCAAGTATTTCGATACGCTGTACGACTATTTGAGACAATTGGCGCGACTCCCGCCCGACGCTAAGATCATACGCCTGGACCAGGATATGGATCAGCTCTTGGAGCCGATGCTGGCCGAGGATGGACACGGATTGCTGTTGGTGTTGGTGGTGATCACGTCGACGATGCGCGCGTTGAAACACATTCACTGCAAGATTCTGGCGCAACGATTGTCTTGTAGGATAGCCAACGCCTCGCCGGTGATGTCGGCGTTTATTACGGATAGACTTTTGCCGTATTTGTTGCATTCGCTCAACGATACTGACCCTCGAGTGCGCGCCGAGACTATCGGCTCCATAACGTATAGCTTGGAACAAGTGGTGGATTTGCCGCAAAGTGATAACAATGTCTTCACGGACTATATTCTTCCAGTTTTGGTATGATTTCTGGTCATAAGTGGTTCGCAATTAATGCAACTTTGTCCGAACTCTAGTGTCAAGTGGTGTCCGACCGGTCGGTGTACGTGAGGCTGACATTAGCGGCAAACATCAGTCGCCTATCGAAAGTGGCGCTCAATTTCTTGAGCCAATCGTGTGATGAGAACTACGACGAAGAGTTGTCTCTATTGCACGACTCGTTTCAGATGATTGTCTCACAACTGCTGACCGACTCAAACAACTGCGTCCGGAGGACACTGCTGTTGACGCCCAACAGCTGCGCCAACCTCTGCGTGTTCTTCGGCAGACATAAGACTAATGAAGTGATTCTCAGTCATATCATAACCTTTCTGAACGATAAAGTAGGCGTTGATTACCATCTCATATGTGAGAGATAATTGTCACTGATTTTGATCCCTTGTATTGCAGAACGACTTCCAACTGCGCGCCTCGTTCTTCGACAACATAATAGTGATCGCCTCATACCTGGGCTCTCAGTGCTCGACGATTCTGCAGCCACTCCTACAGCAAGGGTTGTCGGACGCCGAGGAGACCATCATCTATAAGACCATTACGTCGTTGTCGTCGCTCGTAGAACAAGGTTTGCAAACCACTCGTAGGCGTACCTCCAGTTCCCTCTAATGGATTGTCTGTGTTTTAAGGATTACTCAAAAAGAGCATAATTTACGAGTTGGTCAGAGAAGCCCTTCCCCTGTTAGGTCACCCCAACCAATGGATTAACAACGCGTTGGTAGCGTTAATACTGACGCTATCGTCGCGGCTGTCGTTAGCGGACATTAACTGCAAAATAAAGCCATTAGTGGAGCCGCACCTGCAGAGGAATATTCATACGCTCAAGAACTCGGACCTACTCAAGGACTCCATACACCCGGCGATACCCCGAAGTATACTCGACTTGGTTCTGACATCGAAGCTAAATATCGACAAATTGTTTGAGTGTTTGGCGCAGAAGAAGGCGTTGCGAACGATTCCACGCCATCACCAGTCGGTTGTGGTGTTTGAGGACGCGCTGTACACACGGCTCACGCACGAGGCGATGACCGACACCGTGGAGGACCAGTTGGTGGCGCTCTCGGAGCTGATTAGAAAGGTCTACAAAAATAAGCGCAATTTGAATGCGAAGAAAGTGTCGGGAAATATAGTGATTAATAAGCGGAACGCCAGTCACCCGAGCCGTCGGAGCTTCAGTGTGACGCTGAGGAGCACCGGTAGTGAGAAGCCGACGCATAAGCGCCAGACGTCGGCTATGAACGAGGAATGGCTGCATATGTTTGGCTCAAACGCTAAACTCATTTCGTCTAATGATGAGGACGTGGAGAGTGTGATACCCGTGGCTCACGAGGCCCGGGAGTACGACCAGTCGCACATCCAGTGCCCACCCTGTCATCAGGAGCTCAAAGAGCTCATCGACCACAAGAAGAATGACTTCAATCCGTTGGCGTCCATCAAGTGGTCAAAGCAGACACACTTCAAGCCGAAGGGAGTACTGGTGGCGCACCTCCACGAGCACGAGTCGGCCGTACGACAGGTGCTCCGCATAGCCGACTCCAGTCTGTTCGCCACGTGTAGTACCGACGGAACCGTTAAAGTGTGGGACTCATCGAAAATGGAGGGCAAGTCTGTGGTGAACCGTTCGCGCTATAACTTCGTGACACAGTCGGCGCTCACCCAACAGTCCATGGGTGGGATGGCCTACTGCAAGGACAGCATAATCGTGTTCACGAGCACTAATTACGTGCATATACTGGAGATTATCCCGAGCTCTATGCGTATGAAACTGTTGAACAGCTTTCAGGTGATACCCGATGTGGAGGGCTCTGTGATCACAGACATTACGGCGTTGACGGAGAATACGTTCGCCATATCCCTGTCCGACTCGTCGGTACTCACGTACGACATCCGGATTCTTGTGTCCAATCAGACGGAAGTGAAGCCGATCTGGAAGTTGAATATCGCGGCCCACGAGCGCCTCATTACGACCATCGATGGCAACGATTATGTGCTGTTTTGTGGCACTTCCAGAGGGCTGTTGATTACGTTTGACTTGAGATTTCTGATCAGATCTAATGTGTCGTCATATCCGACGCAGAATAGGATCAGAAAAATCAAGTACACCGAAGACGGACTCTATTCCTCTGGTAAGCCGTGAGATAATCCCTTAATCCATGAGTGTTTACTGACATTTGTGTTGATTTTAAAGCTCAGGGCAACTGTGAAGTGACGCTTTGGGACTGCGAGTCGGGCTCCCGAGTCAGGACACTGTGGGCGAGTACGGCGCCGCCCCTGTCCTTAACTCAGGTATGCGACGGGTTTTGAAGGCTTTCCGTATCGACACTAATATTGCATTTTTTGGTTTGTTTTGGCGTTTTGTTAGGCGTCGCAGCACTCGGTGCTGGGAATGCTGGTGACCAACGCGGGCGCCGAGTCGTCGATCATCACGTCGGGCACCGACATGCGGATCCGGTACTGGGATTTGGCTAAACCCGAGCGCAGTTACATCATCTCCGACAACGCCAAGTGCGCCAATAATGTCAAGTATTGCTCGAAATTTATTGAAGGCATTCACGTCATACACGAGTGCCAGGAGTCGGCTCAGGCGGGAGCGCCGGCACACTCGTCGTGGGACCAGCAGGTCGTGAGTCCGTCGCACAGGGACTGCATCACAGACCTGACGCGCGTCAATCACCTACTGGTGTCGGCCGGCAGTGACGGTGTCGTCAAAGTGTGGAAATGAATAGACATTTAAATTATAACTTATTATATATTTTTTAAACATAATTACATTACATATAGTTTTGATAACAAGTGTATAATCGGTTTGGGAGGCGACTCATAGTCCGCCCAAACAAATGTATTTCACGTCAACAAACTCGTCGACCCCGAAGTGCGAGCCCTCCCGTCCCAGTCCTAGCGGAGAGATACTGTCCACTCCGTGGCCGCAGAAGATGATTATGTATACGAAAGAGGCCATCGGAGTGGTAGCCATCATAACGCCCGTACGTATCGACACTTTCTGCACACAAGTGATTGACATTTGACCACAAATTGTCTCATTTATAGTGGAATTTCCCGAACGCTATGATCACTCGGAAGTTGGGCGCAGTATTGGCCGCCGGCTGTACGGCAGTCATACGCCCGTCAGAGGACACCCCGTACTCGGCGCTGGCGATCGCCAAACTCGCCGATGAGGCCGGCATTCCCAGGGGTGTCGTGAATGTGATCCCATCGACAAAGGCGCCGGTGATCGGCAAAGTCCTGTGCGAGTCGCCCGACATCAGCGCCATATCGTTCACGGGCTCGACGGGCGTCGGGAAGATTCTGTTGGCACAGTCGGCGTCGACCGTCAAACGCATGTGTCTCGAGCTCGGGGGTAACGCCCCCTTCATTGTGTTTAAATCGGCCGATTTGGACAAAGCTGTCGAGGGGTGTATTGCCTCGAAGTTCAGGAACGCGGGACAGGTATGTGTGGTTCGGGATAACTATCTCTAGTAGTCTATTAGATGTAAAAAGTTTGAATCAAATGTTGTGTTTCTATTAGACCTGCGTTTGTGCTAATCGTATATACGTTGAGACCCACGTTTACGACACATTTGTGGCCAAATTGGCCGACAAAATGGCCAAAGAGTTGGTCGTCGGCGACGGCATCGACAGCCAGACAACTGTCGGTCCACTCATTAACGCGAAAGGCGTCGAGAAAGTGAAACAACACGTGGAGGACGCCGTGCGAAAGGGCGCCAAAGTATACACCGGTGGACACCATCTTAAGGGCAACTTCTTTGAGCCGACAATCGTTACGAATGTTAACAACGATATGCTGTTCAGTCAGGAGGAGACGTTCGGACCGTTAGCTCCGATCTATCGGTAAATACACTTCATTTCAAACTTTTATTTCTATAATAATATTCATTACAATAAAAGTCAATATAATTATAACGATATATACTGTATATATATAACAATAATAACTAAATGGGATTAACATATGAAATATAATTAACTAAAAATTGATAATTAAATAAATAGGTTCTCCAGTGAGGAGGAGGTGCTGGCGCTGGCAAATGGGACGCGGGTAGGACTGGCCGCCTATTTCTATAGCAATGACTTGGCGCAGGTATGGCGCGTCGCCCGCCAATTGAAAGTCGGAATGATTGGCGTGAATGAGGGACTCATATCGACGTGTGAGGCGCCCTTCGGAGGGGTCAAGGAGTCGGGACTGGGACGGGAGGGCTCGCACTTCGGGGTCGACGAGTTTGTTGACGTGAAATACATTTGTTTGGGCGGACTATGAGTCGCCTCCCAAACCGATTATACACTTGTTATCAAAACTATATGTAATG